TAAACTGAACAACAAGAGTATACAGAAAAGGCATGTAGAAAAAACATCTGCTGTACATACTCAGTTTTTATGTTGAGAAATTCAATCTATGAAAAGTTTAAAAAAAATTGAGACTACACTAATACCATGAATAGCCAAGATCTAAATGTTTTACCATATGCCAGCTATTACTGTCATCTACATGTAGTAATTCTCCTTTTAAGAACTGTGACAATATTGTGAGTTTTAGCACCAACACCTTCAGATGAGTAAACAGTGTACAAAATTACACAGCTAAAAGGAAGATCAGATTTTCAAGTCAGGTCAATATGCTTCTGAAGAATGATCAAAGAGTTGGAGTTAAAAAACAAAAAACAAAAATTAAAAAAAGAAAAGAAAAGAAAAAAAATCTGCTCAGCATTTCAAGCTGAAAAAAATACCTGACAAATTCAAGCTCTGAGTTTGCCATGGGCAAAATCCTGAATGATCCAGGAAGCATCAAAAGAAGACAGAAGGAATACAATGATTCACTGTACTAAAAAGAATTGGCTGACAGACAACCATTTCAGGAAGTAGCATATGATCAGAAACCAATGATACTGAAGGGAGACATTTAAGGTGCACTTAAGTCACTGCCAAGAAATATGGGTCCAGGGATTGATGGAATATAAGTGACATGTTTCAAAAAACAAAGAAGAATGTCTACATGAGGTCATCAAGCTGTGCCAAGAGGTTTGGAGGGGTAGCTGGCCAACTGAGCATGAAAGATCCTTATTTGTTCCCATTTCCAAAAAAGATGCTTGAAGTTAATGTGGAAATTATCAAACAACATTAGTAATAGCACATGTAAGTAAAATTATGCTGCAAATTATAAAAAATTGGCAGAGAAGTACAAGAAATTTAGGCTGGATTTAGAAGAGGGTATCATCTGAGGTATATCCCTGGTGATGTCAGATGAATCTTTGCTGAAAGCAGAGAATACTGGAAAAAGGTCTATTTGTGTTTTACTGGTTATGAAAAGGTATGTGACTGGGTCGTAACAAATTATGGTTAACAGTGAGAGGAATGGAAATCCTAGAACACTTAATTGTGCTCATGCTAAACCTATACCTACACCAAAAAGCTATTGTCCAAATAGAGAAAAGGAACACTGAATGGTTTAAAAATCAAGAAAGGTGTGCATCAGGGCTGTTATCTTTCTTCATGCCTATTCAATGTGTATGCTGAGCAAATAATTTGAGAAGCTGGACTTTATGAAGAAAAATGTGGCATCAGGGTTGGTGGAAGACTCATCAGCAACCTGTGCTATGCAGATAACACAACTTTACTTGCTGAAAGTAAGGAAGACTTGAAACTCTTGCTGAAGAAGATCAAGACTACAGCCTTCACTATGGATTACATCTCAACATCAAGAAAACAAAAATCCTCATCCCTGGAACAATTAACAACCTGATGAACAGATGGAGAAAAGATAGAAATTGTCTAAATATTTACTTTTACTTGCATCCACAATTAAACACTCTTGGTACCAGCAGTCAAGAAGCAAAAAAATTAAAAAAAAAAAAATGGCTGCACTGGGAAAATCTTCTGTCAAGGACTTCTCCAAGTGTTGAAGAGCAACAATATCAGTTAAAGACTAAAGTGCACTTCATTCAAGTCTTCTCAATTACTTTCTATGCCTCTGTAAGAAGGTCAATGACTAAAGATGACAGAATAATCATCATTGCCATTGAGCTGTGGCTGGAGAAGAGTACTAAATATTTAATGGACAGCCAAAACAACAAACAAGTATATCTTGGATAAGGTGCAAACAGATCGCTCCTTAAGAGGCAAGAAAGGGTTAACTTCATCTCACATATTTTGGGCATGTTATAAGGAGGAGCCAGTCCTTGGAAAAAGACATCATGCTTGGAAAACTGCAAGGTCAGTGAAGGATAAAAAGATCCTCAACAAGATAGAATGACACAGGGATTGTAACAATGGAAGCAAGTATATAGCAGAGATGAGGAGGATGGTCAGATCTACTGCTGACAGTCACTGTGATTTGTAGTCTACTCAACTACATCTAACAACAAAAACAATTCCATTCCAAGCATGGCAGGAAGCTCTGTTAGGAAAACTCAGGGTAAATAAATGAGAAATCAACAAGAAATATAGGTTCCTTACTTTAATATAAAGATGGTACTGGCATGAAAATTCAAAAGATTCTAGAATACTTTTCATATAAAATATTTCCATTCAAATGGAACAAGTGAAATAAACAGGGAGCTGTGGTGGTGGATTTATGCTGCTAAACCAAAGGTGGTGCCTCTGGCGGTTCAAATCCAACAGTGACTCCAAGGAGAGAAAGATGTTTTCCTCCAAGGAAAAAAGATGGGTTAGCTCCTCCCTTGCAGTGTGCACTAGAGAGGCAGCTAAATGAGCCCGTTTCGACTTGACAGCAACAAGTTTAAAATTTCTGAAGTCCTATATACTTGAGAAGACGTTATTACATACTAATACAGTGCTATAATAACTCTTATTCTGTTTACGTCAAATTACATTTTATTTGTAAACTTAATTTCTTCTATGCAATATCAAGCGAGTACCTGGATTTATCTATTCAATTCTCAGCAGTTTTAGTTTATTAAATTTTAAATTTTCATAAAGGGTCAAAATCATATAGAAACTGTAATATGGTAAAAGATTAATCTTATTTTAACACCTGTAATTCTCCCTAGAATTCAATTTTTTATGGGTGTTTCTATTCATTTTTTTAGAAGAGGAGGAAGTTGCTTAAAAAAAAGTAAATGATCATGATTCATAACCCATCTAACAATGGGGCTTACATGGAAGCAATTTTTATACAGCAAACATATTAAGTGTACAATAAGAGTTTAAGGATGCATTTATTCATATTTTAGTAAGATCGTTCAGACCAAATAATTACTACTTTACTTAAAAGTATTAACATTATTTTCATTTTGGATCAGTTTGTTAAAAAGGTAGGTAATGTTTCTGTAACCACCTCAAAAATACTAAAGCTATGAAAGCTAAAAATGTTCAGATTCTCTGATGATTATTTTAATTTTTGGTTGTTATGTGCTTTTAAAGAAATATTTTAACATTAATTATGATAGGCATGCTCTGGTGGCCTAGTGGCAAGAAGCTGTACTGCAATCCCCGAGGTATATGGTTCGAATCCACCAGATCCTCTGCTGGAGAAAGAGGAAAAATCTCCTCTTGTACCAGTCAGAACTGATTTGACGGTACGCGCGCGCGCGCGCGCACACACACACACACACACACTCAACGAAAATTAAAAAAATAATTATGTAATATTCTAGTCTGTTCGTATACCTTTTCTGTTGTTGTTGTTGTGTGTGGTGGCGTAAGAACTCACAGCTGAATTTCAGGTGGGTTTTCTAAGACAGTTTAATCACACAGGAGGAGATTGCCCATCCTTGTGAGGAGCCGTTGGTGGTTTTGAACCACCTGCCTTTGTGATTGCAGTGCAACTTCTTACCACTGGGCCACTTTTCCTTCTTCTTCTTGTTAAGTGTTAAGTGAGTCAGGTTTGATTCATGACAACCTTATGAGCAGCAGATCTGAACCCTGTCCTATCCTGTGTCATCCTCACTATCTCGGACACATTGGAGCCCATTGTGGCTGTCACTGCATCACTTCATCTCAATGGGGGTCTTTCTCTCTTTCACTGACCCTCCACGCTTTCAAGCATGGTGTCCTCTTCCAAGGGATAGCCTCTTGTAGGAACATGTTCAAGGTATGAGAGACAAAGCTTTGCCATACTTGCCTCTAGGGAGCACCCCAGCTGTACCCTTTCCAAGAATTGATGCCTTTGATTTGTGGTGCTAGAGAAGAATCTTGCATATACCATAGATTGCAAAGAAAACAAATAGGTCTGTCTTAGAGAGGGCGAAACCAAGTTTTTCCTTGGAAGCTATGTTTTGGTTTTGGTTGGGAGGGGGGTGTTTTTTTGTTGGTTTTTTTACAGTTATGTACTTCTTTTTTTTTTTTTTCTTGTTGTGTACTGTCGAATAAGATCCAACTGGCACACGAGGAGATTGCCATTCCTTCTCCAGTGGAGCATCTGGTGTATTCAAACCATGCTTTGCAGTGCAGCTTTTTGCCACTAGGCCACAAGAGTTCCTTGGAGGCTAAGTTTTTGCAGCTTTGTCTCATATACTTTGGCCAGGTGACCAGAAGGCACCAGTCCTTGGAGAAGGACGTCGTGCTCGGAAGGGTGGAGGGGCAGCAGAGGAGAGGAAAAGCCCAGATGAGATGGACTGATGCAATAACTGGGGCAATGGGGGTAGGTGTGCCAGAATCAACGAGACTAACTCAGAATAGCACAGGCTTCAGATCTACTGTACCCAGTGTCACTATGGGTCACAGGAGACTCGATGGCACATAACAACAACAGCAGTACATTTTGTGCTTGAATTTGTGGCTTGTGAATTATATCTAAATAAAGCTATTAAAAAGAAAAAAATAATTATGATAGAATACTTTAAAAATAACAGAAAAGTTGCATTGGTAGTGCAGAGTTCCCTTATGGTTCATATACATCAGCTTTTCATTTTAATAAATTTTAATTAAAAAAATTTAACTAATGAAAGTTAAGTGTGCTATATGATCATGACATGATAGAAGTACGAGTATATACATACATGCTAGAAAACAGAACATTCAGTACAAGATTAAAAGGGTAATAATTTTCATTATTTTTTCAAATAAAAAGGTTCAAAAGCAAAACATCTTAAAAATATACACAGAAAACCACATTTGACCATATTAAAGGCAAAACAACAAAATCACGGAAGTTCTATACTAGATAACTTTAGAAAATATCCTATTTTCATAAACACCCTAGTGGCAAATGTGAAATCCATTTTATATTAAATTACAGATACGTAGTGATACCCAAATGAAACAAAACACAATGTATCTTTAAAAGAATACAAACAAAACATTAAAAGCAAAGCAAATTTCATAAAGAAAAGAAAAAAGAAACTAATAACCTGTGGTATGGTGGGTAGGATGACAGTATTCTCAGCAGGGACTGGCAGGACAGGGATCACAGGGACAGTGGGAGAGGAGGGAGGTACAGCTTCTGGTGGCTAAAAATCATCAATGACAAATAGTCAGAAAATAACTCCCCAAAATAAAAAGGAAATATTTAACAGAAAGTTGTGACAGAGTTTTCAGAAATAATTGAAAAAATAGGCAAAATATTAACATTTCAATTTAAATGGGAAAATGCTTTCTTTAGAAATTACTTTAATAATTACAGCACCAACAATAACTTTAATGACTGTAGTTAAAAATGAATGGCTGCTCTTTAGATGACAAATGAAAATAACTTGCTTCACACAGAGACTGCAAAAATCATTTTCTAGCATTCAACATATATTTGACTACTTTCTTCCTAGAATTCAGAGAACTAAAAGCAATTTTATTAACTCATCAAGAAGGCAATCAAGATTTATAAATCCACATCCAAAGAATAAAGACTTAAAAAATTTAGTCTGTCACCTATAACTCATCTATGCTAGTGATCTCTACTAACAAGAATAACAAGTTTACTACATTTGCCTTTACATTAATGAATGAATGAACACTCAGAGAATGTTTATTATGTGTCTTATACATTTCAGAAAAACAATTTCATAAACAAGGTGCTACTTGCTTTGACATTGGAAAGATAATTAGTCAACTGCAGGACAGACGGAAGATACTGATGCAGACATCCAAGTAATGTGTTAAAATTTTTAGAAAGCTCATGTGGTAGGCAGGGAAAACAAACAGCATGAGAGAAAAAGAGCTAGAGAACTCTAACAGCATAAACAAAAAAATTTTTAATTCCATTTGATTACTTAATGATTTTTTTAAAAGATTGGACTCGGATATACAAAAGGTGCTTTGTATAAGGATCTAGTCCCATGACTTGGATTAATTAACAAATACTTGGCATAAGAAGATCTGATTTATATGCATACTAAAATAAAACAGAAGGCAAATATATAGTGGCAATGACTTAAAACAGGAAGAACAAATTTTTAAATGTGAACACAAGTCTCCAGAAAAGTAAAAACAAAAGCTGGTTAAGATAAAATTCATGCAATAATAATCCAATTGTAGGAGATACTAGAAATGGTCTTTTCTTTTGAGGGTGGGGAAGCAATGAACACCACTGGGAGGAATCCCTAAACCCAAGTTTCAGAATTAGAATGCATTTTTTCAGAGAAATAATATTTGACTATAAGAGAAATTAAAGCACACAGGAAGTAATGTTTCTTTGGTTCTGCTTCTGGATTCTAACCACTATTTATGTAACATTACTAAAAAAATGAGTAATTCTGAATTTCAAATAATGAATGATTATGAATTTTATTGAATACTACTTTAATCTTTCTAGAAATGTTTACCATCCACAGGTTTTTAAATTCTTAATTTATGACAAAGGTGGTATTTCAGAGCAGTAGGGGGAAAATGAGTATTTTAAAAAAAAAAGAATTGTTGCTGGTCAAGAGAATGACACATGGAAAAACAAATGAATCCTCGTCCACCACTCAAACAGGGTGAGAGTAGCATCTCTGTACTGGGACTGGAAAGATGAAGAAGCCTGACAGTACTGGGAGCCAGAGCTGGGTGAGGATAGTGTCCATATGGACAAAGCAGTGGAAATAGTGTGATGTGCACTGCTATACTCCAAGAGTGACAGTTATCTATGTGAGAGGCAATGCTAGTGGCAGTGTGGCATGAAGTGGGGGTCTGAGAATGGGAAAAGTGGGATCTGCTGGAATCTGAGTACAGGGAAGAAGGTAGCCCTGAATGTGTTAACAGTGAGAGAAGACTGTTTACATACAAGGGATTCTGATTCAATAAATAAACACACAAAGGATAATAGGAGCAAATGTTCTCTTGTCAGTTATAGAAATGGAAAAGGAAAAGATTAGGTACGGATACGACAGCACAGTTAACAGAAAACTATAGCAACACTCCAACTGCATGAATATACTCAGCACCTAGTTTCTGGCTTCTAGGTACTAATTATTCTCTTTAGTACCTAATTCTCTTTTAAAAAGAAAAAGGCCTGGCCTCCTTGGATTGGTTGATTCTAATACTAAATTTCAACAAGTACTGTATGAGAAAGAACATCTTGCTTTGCCAAAAAGGAAGTACTCAATGTATAATGAAGGCATGACAAAGAACACAGAAGGGGCTTCCATTGGTAAAACTGGAATCAATGTGAGACTCAGATAATTACAGTAACAGTATACAACTCACTGTATAAAATATCGGAGTCTATTCTAATATTAACACATTGCTGCAAATGATGGCTATAGAGGGAAAAAAAGTGTTTCTAAGCACGGTTGTCAATTTAAAAGTGTGTGGCAATGTGTTAATGAATATAAGAACAAGTAAATAGGGGAAAAGAAAGTATTTCCTTGCAGTAGAATGCCAAATAAATAAAGGCAGCATGATGAAAAAAAAAATCACCATTTAGCAAAGTATCATTCAAGAAATAAAAGTGGATGCTAATACTACTAGTGGTTGAAAGCAAGAATGGCATCCACTTTCTGAACAACTTGCCTCCAGAAACTATGAACTTTGATAAATGTCAATAGTTGTAGAGGAGCTTCACGCCTTTTGTTCATAGGGTCGCTATGAACTGTGCTCAATTCGAAGGCAATCAACAACAATACTAGTGGATGAAATTATTGAAAGGGATGGGATAAGATGGGATGAGGACAGGATGGTGTTTGTGTGTGTATATGTGTATTCATATGTCATAAGTCTAAATTAAGTTTATTTTTAAAATGAGTGAATATTTCCCAACAGTGATATTAAATCTAATCTGTTTCATGCAGAGGACACAAACTTGCCTGCTTGAAGTGAAGAGGATTTGAACATTTGCTGCAGATGATCAAAAATTACATCGCAACATTAAAAAAAAAAAGAATCCTCATCCCTGGACCAACAGGCAACATCATGATAGATAGAAAAATTACTGATGTCGATAATATCATTTTATTCAAATCCAGAATTAATATCCAGTGTAGCAAGAGTATAGAAATCAAAAGATGTAATAATGCATAGGGAAAATCTGCTGTCAAGGAACTCTAAAGAGTAAGAATACCAGTAAAGACCAAGGTCATGGTCTTTTAAATTACTTGCTATGCATCTGAAAGTTGGACAACGAATAAGAACAAGAATCAATCAATCAATACCATTATGAAGAGTCAATCAATGCCACTGAGTTGTGGTGCTGGAAAATGAGCTCTGAATAGTCCATAGACAGCCAAAAAAAAAAAGTCTGTTATGGAAGAAGTGTAACCAAAGTGCTCCTTAAAGTCAAGGATTGTTAAACTTTGTCTCAAATGTTTTGGGCATGTTGTTTACAGTCTCTGGAGAAGGATCTCATGCTTGGAAAGGTAGAGGGGTCAGATAAATAGAGAATGACTTTCAGAAAGACAGTGACACATTGACTATGAGCTTGAGCATGATGAGAAACAGTAAGGATGGCACAAGCTACAACAAGGTCAAGATCTGTTATTTACAGGGTCGTTATGAGTCACTGATGGTTCCATGGCTCCAAACAATAACATTATTGTCTTAGTAATGATCTCTAGTCCTATTAACAGGATACAATATTAGTTATATTATGAAAATAGGGAATAAAAAATGTCACTGTGAATTTTATTTCTGACACAGTTTTTTAAAATCCTAAAACAACCTATACCATATTAATCCACCCTTTAAACACCACAGACAAAATACTCTGAAAAAGAACACAAGTCTCTTTCTGAAGAAAAAGCAGTCACTGGTAAAGAATAACTCAACAAATGACATTATCAACATACACAGTATTTCTAAGCCCCAGGTAAAACCTCATTCAGGTAACAAGAATTGTAGAACTAAGTAATGATGTTATCTTATTTGAAACAAACATATAGATTTAAATGAATATTAACCAAACAGATTTGGTAATAATACAGGACACACCAGTTAATAAAGAGCTGTGCTACCCACTCAAAAGGCATGTGGTTGGAATTCACCAGCCTCTCTCTCCGTGTAAGAAAGATGGGTGATTTCCTCCCCAGCAATTTACTGCCTCTGAAAATCTGCAAAAGATTCAGCTACAACACCGTTCTAACTCATATACAGCAACAACAACAAACAGGTTGTACAGCAACAACAAAAGGTAGGACCAAAAACATGATACAATTCTGGGAAGCTGTAGAAAATTAGTCCTGTCAATCCAAAGGCAGCAGGCAGTAAAAATCTACCAAGTGCTCCACAGGCAAAAGATGGCAATCTCTGGTGCGATTTACACACTTTGAAAACTGTGAGTCAGTTGGTTTCAACTGGATGGTACATAACAACAAAATGGTTAAGAATATAAGTTTTAATATAAAAGTCAAAAGAGTAATAGATAGTAACTATTTTAGATTCTAGAAAAGAACTCAGCATAAGCATTTTGAACTTGAAAAATACAGATTTTACTAATTAGATAATAATGACTAGCATGTCCTCATCCTTGTTCTGCTCCATTTGTATCGCACAGTAAGATCAGCTGCAAATATCCCCCCCCCTCAAATCTTGACCATGTGACTAACAACAATCTCAGTTGTTTCTATCCATAGCAACAGCATGGAATCATTAGCCTCTGAGTCTGCCTTCAGAGACTTGTTTCCATGGCAACAGAGGCTATAATATTAATACGGTCTCAAAAACACTGCGGCAAATGGTAAATTCTATAAAATAATTTAAGAGATAATACAGATTTAAAAAAAAAATTTACCAGCATCAATGTGAGTTTTTTAGGAAAATTTTTACACTGATTTGTTTTTGAAGATTCTTACTAATTTTCCTTATAGTTCACACTTCACACCTAATTTGAGGTCCGAAAATCTTGAAATCAGCTTGTTAACAGATTTTTGTGTTCTGAAGCTTCATCAAGTACTAACAGTGAATAATTTATAACTATGCTCTACTCTCTCACACTCCCAATCATTCAACAATATGTATATATTGAACACACCTACTACCTTTATTAAGGTTTCTGGGAGGCACAGATGCTTAAGTGCTCATTTTGATGTTCCACGCCTCTGAG